GCCGATTTCTTGGATCGGCGCAGGAGGCGCCGCCATGGGGCTCCAGTGCCAAGCCAAGAAATTGTGCGCGGGCCTCCGAACATTTACGTGTATGCCATGTTTTGTTCCTCGATGGTCTGCGCTCGGCGGGGGACGCCAGGATCTGAGGGAACCCTACCTGGATCACCGCTAAGGTTGCTAAGGGGCAGGGGGGTCATCAGTGGATCGAATTTGGGTAACGTATGGCCTAATCTGGTTTATGATTGGGCACACACGCCCCGAGTGGTTCTAAGGGGCAAGGCAACTCGCCCAGATCTTGCCCCCCCGTGAACGCCTTCGGGCACCTGCGGCCCACTCAAAAACTGCGCTAGGCCAGATCCAACCCGCCTTGGCATCCCCTTGGGGCCCCTCTCCCCCCTCGGCAGCCTCAGCGGTGATCCAAGCACTGACTGGCTTGCGCTCGGCGGGGGAGGCTCCACCCGCCGGAGCGCGGCGGCGGGGCCGCCTCCGCCGCCGCCGCCGCGGCGCGCCGAGGCGCGCGGCCATCCGCGCCGCCATCCGCGCGCGCGCGAGCGCCGCGCCAGGCTCCGAAGGGGCGCGGCCGCTGCGCGGCTGCAGCAGCGGGCAGGGCTGGGCCACGTGGCAAACGAACGCACCTCGCTTTTGACCACCCTCGCTGTCCAGAGGGAACCGAACGATGCCAACCTACCAACGCCTGCAGACCAAACGTGCAATCTGAATTTGGGGAAGGAGGCTGCAGGCGCTTGTGGCAGTCGTTCTGCCTAGCTCTCGTTCACACGCATTCATTGCAGGCAACCGCAAAGCTTTCTGACAAAAGCAGCTGAATAGGACACGGGCTTCCAAACAGGAGCCAAACGAAACCAAGCTACCTGTGGGGTGGCGGGCTGGATCGAACCCAGGAGCAAACCGGGCAAAACCAGACTAAGCGGGATTATAAGGACAAGCACTCGGTATCCAGCGGGATTCGACGGGGCATCGCTGGCGCTCCGAACTCGGACCCTCTCGCGCCGTGCCAAAAAAATCGGCGGGAGATTTTTTGCTGCTGCTTTCAGCCGCTGGGGGCGCTCACCGGGACCCGGGACCGCCAAAAAACGGCTCGGGACGAAAAGCCGGCCCCAAGGAAGGGGTCGACACGTCCAGGGGCACACGTCGTAATTCAACCAAGACACAACTCTGGGAGTAATGGGGCTGGCGCTCTGCAGGGCGCGGGCTGCACCCAGCGGGGCTCTGTGGGCAGCGCAGGGGCAAGCCTGGCGCTGGACACCGGTGGGGCTGGGATGCGCCGGCGCTGCCTACATGGAGGCTGCCCACGTGGGACAGACGAATGGTCGAACCGCATCGAACCGAAGGGCCCTGTGCTGACCCTCCACTTCGGGCGTTCGTTTGCAGTCCAGTTTCGGGCCCCGGAACCGCAAACAGGACGAATAGAGAGCACAAAGTCCACCCTCGTAAGGCATAAGGAGCACCCCGACAGGCGAACACAGTTTGGCAAAAGCACCCAGGGACGGAATCGCACAGGGCAGGGCGCTGTCGTAACCCCCCAAACAGTAAACGCTGACTATCGGGGTCGGGGTGGCTCCCCCTCCCGTGAATTCGATAGAAGCCCTGGAGGGAGGGCCAAAAGGCCCAGGATCCCCACGCCTCGAGCACGGCACACGGCCGGCCCCACGGGGCGGACGCCCACGGCGCCCAGGGCGCCCAGCTTCGCGCTCTCGCGCTGCGCGCTGAGCGGAGCGCGAACAACTCCGCGCTCTGCCGACTGAGAGCGAGACGCCTCGCGCCGCGACACTCTCACGACCCGAGAGGGGGGCCCGCAGGGGCCGAAGCAGCGCCAGGCCTCCCCTCCCCCCGAGGGCCGCGGGGCCGCGGACACGCGGCGCCTCTTTCCTGCCGCGGCGGCCGCGCGCGCCCTCTCCCCGCGAGGGCCGGGGCCGGGCGACCCCTCGGCCCCGGCAGAGCGGGGGGGCGGCCGGGGAGCCCGCTCGCAGCGGCGCGCGAGGCCCGAGGGACGAGGAGGCCGCACGCGGGTCGTCGTTGCGTCCGCCTGCGAGGGCCCGGATCTCCGACGGTATGGGTGCCTCGGCCCGGCGTTCTCTGATCGCCTTTGGCCCTCGGAGGCCGCGTTCCCGGCTCCTCCTCCTCCTCCTCATCCTCCTCCTCCTCCTCCTCCTCCTCCTCCTCCTCCTCCTCCTCATCCTCATTATCCTTCTCATCCTCCTCCTCCGCCTCCTCCTCCTCCTCCTTCGGGCCCCGCCCCTAATTATAGGGCCACAAAAGCGTGGGCCCGGGGCGAGAGAGTGGCCCCAGGAGAGGGGAAATGAGAAGGAGAAGGCCTTCTCAGAAGGCGGCGGGACTTCTCAGAAGCCCTCGCGCCTTCTGGGGGGTTTTCTGTGTCTTCGGGGAGAGCTTAGAAACCTGGGAGACGCCCGAGCCTTCTGAGAAGGCCTTCTCCTTCTCACTTCCCCCCCTCGCTCGCCGCCGACTTTTCGTCCGAGCCCGCTTTTTGACGGCCCCGGGGCCCGCCGGCTACCCCCAGAGCCCGACCACGGGCAAAGGCCCGGGGCCTGGGACCACCGCTCAGACCCCCACTGGCAAGCAGGCCTGGTTAAAGGGGCCCTGGGAGACACAAATAAATACCCACAAAGAACCGGATTCCCCATATTTCCCAATATTTTCTGGGTGTTCGTCTTCCCCCCACTTCCCATAGTTTCCCACCTTTTCCTGGGAATCGGCGATTCAATGTGTGTCTGTTTGTTTTTGTTTCCTCCTGACTGGTCTGGGCCCTCGGGCCTCGGTGGGCGCGAGCCGTCCTTTGGGCCCTCGAGCCTCGGAGAGCGCGAGCCGCCCCTCGGACCTGGGCCTCGCCGAGACCTGACAAGCATGTTTGTCCACGGCTCTCGGCCTCCAGTGGAGGGCATCTCCCATGATCCCTGGACCGTCACAACCCGACTCGAGCCTCGGAGAGCGTGAACCGTCCCTCAGACCTGGGCGTCGCCGAGACCTGACAACCGTGTTTGTCCACGGCTCTCGGCCTCACGGAGGGCGTCTCCCATCCCTGTGCCGTCACAGCCCGACCATGTTTGTCCACGGTTCTCGGCCTCTGGACCCATCCCTGGACCCATCCCTGGACCCATCCCTGGACCCATCCCTGGACCCATCCCTGGACCAGGCTTGTCCACGGCTCTCGGCCTCGTGGAGGGCGTCTCCCATCCCTGGGCCGTCACAACCCGACTCGGGACGGAAAGCCGCACCCGGGGAGAGGTCCAGATCCACGGAAGGCCCACGTCGAGAGCACGAATTGCGCCGTCGGAAGGGGTGGCTCCGCGACGCGGGCTTCTGCCGTGTTGTTCAGAAAGGTGCCCCGGAGGGGCAACTCTGGGCCGGCGTTTCCCAAACCACCAATACGGCGCCCACTGCGGTGCCACCGAGGTTCGTGGGTGCTTTTCCGCCCCGGGACGATCCGCCTCGGATTAGAGTGGGAAAAACAAAAAACTGCATAGGCATGAACTGTTGGAGGTCCGCGCAGATTCCTTGGACCCGCGCCAGACCTCTCGCGAAGCGCCGACAACTGATCGTTGTGCCACTTGCTCTTCTTCGAAGAGCGTCCCTCCGTGCTGCCCTTCGTCCCTCGAGCGCCGGCGATTCGGAAGCACGCCTCCCGGGGGGCAGCGCTGGGCACCGTGAGCGACCACGAGTGCTGGCTGCTATTCACAAGGGGGAGGCGGAGCGAGATGAGAGGAGGGAGGAGGATGAAAGGGTGGAGGCGGCGGGAGGGAGTGCTCCTGCCCCTCCTCCCCCTTCTCAAGAAGTGTTGCCGCTCCTTCCAGGTTCTCGTATCAGAGCGCTTTCGCTGCAAAAGCTGACCAGGATTGAAGCGTGGTCGGCGCTGCTCCCGATGACATGAGTTGCTGACTCGCTCGGCCTCGTACCATGATTCATACTCCAACGTCTGCCCCAACTGCGAAACCTACTCCCTTCATCCCCCTTGCCCCATCCTTTTTGCACGCTCCGAGCTGCAACCCGAAGCTGGTCGATGATCGAAGACGGGCTAATCCATGCCTCCCCCCTCGACCTGCTCTCACCTCATAATTATCTTCCTCCCTTCCGCCCTCATGCTTCACCTCTTCCTCAGTTCACCCTCCCTGAACTAGTCTAGTCATGCCGCTGCTGCTGCACTTTCCCCCCCTCTCTTCCTGCCTATCAGGACCTTGGAGGGGGTTGAAGGCCTCTTTGCGGAGATGCTGTAAAGCACAGGGCTTGGGAGACTAGCACGCGACAGCGAGCTGAGATGCATAGCGGGCTGATGACGTACACGGGTACGTAACTTGATTCCTGCAGGTTGGTCTGCAATCGTCGTGGAGCCCACCTGGGGCGTCCACCCGTCCCAGGCCTCGAATGGGACTCCTTTCTTTCCCTCCCCCCTCCTCCTCCTCCTCCTCCTCCTCCTCCTCCTCCTCCTCCTCCTCCTCCTCCTCCTCCTCCTCCTCCTCCTCCTCCTCCTCCTAGGAGGCAAGGATCAGGGGGGCTGGCTTAGGAGGGGGAGCATCGGCCTGGAATCGGCGATACATCGCCGATAGATCGGCGACAGGCCCCCCATGGCGAGTCCCCGCGTTCCTGGGCGGGGTGGGGCCAGCAGACCCCATGTCGACGAGCCGTGGGCGATCGGAGGTCGACGCGTGCCCCCCTGAGCCTGCACCCCCCCGCTGTCGTTGGCCTTGAGTTCCCTCCTTCCCAGACTTGGCGACGCACACAAGGGGGTGGAGGGGTGGAGGGAAGGGGGGAGGGCTTCTTAGGGCGGAGGGTGCTCCTTAGAAGGCGCTGGCCTTACATCTATGGATGGGGCCCGCGCCCTCCAAGAAGCAGGGGAGCTTCAGAGAAGCCCTCCCCCCTCCCCCCACCCCCCTCTGCGAGTGGCTGCTAGATCCCCCGACCCTCGACGCTTGGACCCCTGGGGGCAGGGCTCGGGCACGTGGCCGCGGAGGCGGGCCGCCGGCGCCCCCTCACCCGCTGCCCTGCTTCCTCTTCGCGCCGGCCTCGCGCATGGGGCGCAGGGGGGCATGCTGGCACTACGCGTCCTGCCTGGAGGCGTGCGTCCGACCAGATCAGACAATATACAGACATCTTGAGACGTTTTTACCTAACAGCGAAGACTGATAGGTTTCTAGTGGGCTCAAAAGAGAGCATCATGACTCCCCAGGGGGGTCTGGGCGGGATCCGGACGGGTGCCGGAGTTTTTGTTGCCAACAGTAACGCACTTCGTGGTCTTCGAGTTCCCAGAACTCCATTCCTGGGCACGATTTTGAATGCCCGGAGCCAACTGTAGGCCACTTCGTGTCCTTCGAGTTCCCAGAACTCCATTCCTGGGCATGACTTTGAATGCCCGGGGCCAACTGTAGGCCACTTCGTGGTCTTCGAGTTCCCAGAACTCCATTCCTGGGCATGATTTTGAATGCTGAGGCAGGCTGATGCTGAGGCTGAGGCAGGCTGAGGCTGAGGCAGGCTGAGGCTGAGGCCGAGGCTGAAGGCAGACTGAGGCTGAGGCTGAAGCAGGCTGAGGCTGAGGCTGAGGCTGAGGCAGGCTGAGGCTGAGGCTGAGGCAGGCTGATGCTGAGGCAGGCTGAGGCTGAGGCTGAGGCTGAAGCAGGCTGAGGCTGAGGCAGGAGGCTGAGGCCGAGGCTGAAGGCAGACTGAGGCTGAGGCTGAAGCAGGCTGAGGCTGAGGCTGAGGCAGGCTGAGGCTGAGGCTGAGGCAGGCTGAGGCTGAGGCTGAGGCTGAGGCTGACATGCAGGCTGAGGCTGAGGCAGGCTGAGGCTGAGGCCGAGGCTGAAGGCAGACTGAGGCTGAGGCTGAAGCAGGATGAGGCTGAGGCTGAGGCAGGCTGAGGCTGAGGCTGAGGCAGGCTGATGCTGAGGCAGGCTGAGGCTGAGGCTGAGGCTGATGCAGGCTGAGGCTGAGGCAGGCTGAGGCTGAGGCCGAGGCTGAAGGCAGACTGAGGCTGAGGCTGAAGAGGATGAGGCTGAGGCTGAGGTAGGCTGAGGCTGAGGCTGAGGCAGGCTGAGGCTGAGGCAGGCTGAGGCTGAGGCTGAGGCTGAGGCTGAGGCTGAAGGCTGAGAGGCTGAGGCCGAGGCTGCAGAGCAGGCTGAGGCTGAGGCTGAGGCAGGCTGAGGCTGAGGCTGAGGCTGAGGCTGAGGCTGAGGCTGAGGCTGATGCAGGCTGAGGCTGAGGCAGGCTGAGGCTGAGGCCGAGGCTGAAGGCAGACTGAGGCTGAGGCTGAAGCAGGCTGCTGAGGCTGAGGCTGAGGCAGGCTGAGGCTGAGCAGCTGAGGCTGAGGCTGAGGCGAGCTGAGGCTGAGCTGATTGAGGCTGAGGCTGAGGCTGAGGCTGAGGCTGAGGCAGGCTGAGGCTGAGGCTGTGACTGCGACTGCCGTTGCCACTGCGACTGTCATCGCGAATGCGACTACGACTGCGAGAACAGCAGAATTCTACAACTTGATTCTCATCTGAATCGTAAGGAGAATGCTTCCAGATATGCTCCTACACATCGCTGTTAGGTTGCTTTGCCGGGATAATGTTCATGTTTCGGCGAGGGGCGGGGTGGGGGAGGGTGGTGGGGTGGGGGAGGGAGCTGCCGGACGACAGCATAGCCTGCACGCTCTGGGCAGTCCCACGCATGCCCGCGCGCACTAGCAGTGCGCACCCAGTTCGGACCTGCGCAACCGGCAAAGTCCGGTTACCCGTGGGGCAGGAGGGGGCGGGCGGGCCCGATAACCCGGGCCATCGCCAAACATAGAAAGCGCCCGCCACCGAGCATCTTCGGGGGGGGGGGGGGGGCGCGCACGCAATCCCAACAGCCCTTCTATGGAGTGAGTGGATCAGGGCACTTCCTCGTCAAACCCCCTTGCTCCCTGTTAATGAACACCCCCTCCCCCAGGTGACCGGCAGCCAACCAGGAACCCTGCCGCTCCCCCCACCACAATCCCTGTCAAACAACGATACAACAAATCCACGAAGCCCCCAAACCTGGAGTATACGGGGGTGTCCCGCGACCACATTGTATATACTGTTGACAGGGACGGCGAGGGGGGGCGGGCACACATTGCTTCCTGCGTGCAAGCCAGCCACCCGTGTCAACTCACCATGCTAAATGCACTGTTCCTCCAAAACTGTGGCATGCGCGGGCGCCCCGCGATCACTTTGCATCGGCTTTTGACAGGGACGGCTGGGGGGTCGTACTGCTTGCAGCGCGCGAGGCAACAATCCCTGACAACTCACACTACAAAATACTCTGTGACTCCAAATCTGGGGCATGCGCGGGCGCCCCGCGATCATATTGCATTGGTTTTTGGCAAGGATGCTCGGGTTCTACGTTTGTGTTGGGAAGGCGGGTGGGAGTGAGCGAGATGGCTTGTGCCTTGAGCGCAGGAGGTGTGCTGACCCCTCCCCCATACCACCTCCCCTGGACCTGAACAGGGGATGTCGCGACCGATTGGAGCGCCCAAGAAGGCGTCGGCTAGAAGGCGAACATCATTGATTGCATGTTGAAGTTGCACACATGTTGGCATGCAGTCTAGGGGGGGGCACGCTAGTATGGTACACCACCTTTCTTCGATCGAACTCCTCAAAGACGGTTCTAAGAAGATGGCCCCCAAGGCTTCCAAGAGTGCCCCAAGAGGGCCCCAAGAGGCGCCCAGGAGGCCCCAAGAGGCCCTAAAAAGGTCCGCAAGAGGATCCCATCAGACCCCCAAGAGGCCCCAAAAGGTTCCCCGAAGGCACCCAAGACGCTCCAACAGACATCCGGAGCGACTCCGAGAGGCATCCAAGAGGCCTCTGGCGTTTCTGCTTGCCCTCCCGAGCACGCATTCCGAGTCCCCTGACGGGGTTTTCAAAGCGCAGGGACGGCATGCGCGAGAAACTACCACTGCACCCTGCCCCTTGCCTAACTCGTCTGGCCAGGCCCTCAGACCTGGGGGGAGGCGGCCATCCACGAGTTTGAACGGCAACTTCTTACCTCAGCCTCTGTTTGAACGGCATCAGTTTGAACGGCACCTTTCTACCCCAGCATCAGTTTGAACAGCACCTTCCTACCCCAGCCTCAGTTTGAAGGCACCTTGAACGGCATCAGTTTGAACGGCCTGTTGGGCGGTGGCAGAGGCACTGCAGCCCTGCGCCCATCTTCGCACTGCTGTGAGCCCCCCACACTTGCGACACCATCAGAGTTCACGAGCACAGGACAGCTCATGAGCCTGATGGGTCTGGTGCGGCCGACCTGGACAACGAGGCGAGACGAGCCACTCCAGCGTCCCACGCTCTTCAATCCCCCTCCCTCTCCATCACGCTGTGTGTGGTCTCCTGCAGTGCTTGCTCAGCGTTCGAGCGCCGCTGGGTGGAGGATGGAGGCAGAAGGAGGTGCCGCTGGGTGGAGGATGGAGGCAGAAGGAGGCCAGGGGTGGTGGTGCTGTATATCGATTGGGGCGCCCTCGCGGGACCTCATGCACGCCTGCATACCGCACATCAGTTCATCCCGAACACCCTCAGATGGTGGTGGTGCGCTTCCTGCTCCCAATCACCCCGGACCCTCCTGCAGATCCTCCTGGAGCCAAGCGCTCCAGCCGTGTGTCGATGCTGCATCGAAAGGTCCATCGACTTGCGGAGTCGAGCTTGAGTCCACCTCGGGTCCAACCAGAATCGACTGGACCAATTCAGTGCGCCCCAGTCTCCAGAACGATCATCTGCTTAGCTGCCCCGATACGCAACACGCAACACGTAGCGTATTGATACGGAGTTCAACACGTAGACTGAACACGTAGGTCTGACGCGATACGTTCACCAAAACGTGGGCCAATACATTGAGCCAACACGCAACGGACGTTTTGAACACGGCACGTGTTGCGTATTGAAACGGGCGTATCGAGGCAGCTAAGATCATCTGACAACACGGGGCCGCGAGGCGGGTGTCCTCGGCGGACACGGCCACGGCGGCCGGCGGCGGCGACAACCCCCCGACGTCCAACGGAGGTCAGGAGCACCCCCGCCCTGCCAGGCCGAATCGCAGCACTGCCATCTTCGGATCCCGAGGAGGTGTCGCGGCCGTAATTGTTGTGGGCCAGCGCCCTTAGGGTCTGGCCCCGAGTCGCTTTCACGACGAGGCGCTTTGCCCAAGGGGTGTATGTCCACCCCCGAGTCCAACGTCCTCGGCGAAGTTCTGGTAGCAGCGTTTCAAAAGACGCCGGCCTCATCGTCGGGGCCCCTGGGCCGACCGAAGATTCGGCTGGGGCGAAAACTCGGTCACAGGGCAGGGGCCTAGAACTCCAAGGGCGCCGTCTGGAAAAAGTCACGGCTTCGGGGATCTGACGACACTTCTAGCTCCCAAGCTCCTCCGTCGTGCG